TTGATTTAAATACCTCTAGCTTACCTACATGTTCTTTAACATGCCATTCCATGACCTACATTGTCCTGCCAGATGCTCACAAGTCAGTGTTTCTTCAAAAACCCAACAAATGCACATGCAGTAGGTGCAGTTTTTGCCACACAAGGGAAATGTTATTTTTGCCACTTCAGGCACAGTACCGAGACCTCAGGTGACATGACATTTTTCTGAATAATCACTAAGTTTCTTTGTTATTTTTTACTTTTGCAAACATTCATGACCAGCCAAAGAAAAAAGGATGCACAGAACTTAAAGGATGCTTCTGCGTCTTCTGCCTTAGGATATTTTGAATTCTACAGTTTATCTGTATTCTAGTAATACTGGATTAAAATGTCATTCTCACTGAACTTTCTACATTATTCAAAAATAAGATGGCTTTGAATCCCACTGTTTCTCAGACTTTGTGCTGTGAATACAAAAAGCAGCTCTCCCCACTTCTTTTCAAAGACGTAGCCCCATACCATAGCAAGAAGTGATATTTCTATGACATCTTTAAACCTACTAACCAGGACACAAGAGCCAACATAATTATAAGCAAACAAGAGCTGCCACATGCCAAGATAAAATACATTCTGTGATTAACTTCCCTCAGTTTTTAGTTGCTTTTCTACGGCTCACAACTGGTCATTCTTCCAGTTTAAGCACAAATTAGTGTTTGTCCATCACATTATCCCTGGAAATTGATGTTTTATACGGTGTATCCCATCTCTTGCCACGTATGCCACTGGATTCTTATTCAGTCTATATTTCATGCAGCTATCTCCTGCTGCAAGTTTGCCTTTTCCTGCTCAAAGTTACTCATTGTTCTTTCTCCTGGTTTAGCTGCACCACTTTTCTTCCTTTCCCAGAGCACTTCTCTGGGCTCTAAACTGCCTCCCAGCCTTCCCCTAGGCCTGCTGTACCACCTGTCCACCCCAGCTCCAGCCTGCTCTAAAGGTTTGAACTCATTTTCAAGTCAAAATAGTATTACAGGAGAATTGTTCTTCCTCCTGGACAGCTTTCATTCCTTCTAGGACACCAAGGAGATTAATCAAGCCAGAGAGGACCATGCTGGGCAGTGCATCTCCAGGGCCAAGCAGCACCGCCACCCAGCACCGCTCCGTGGTGAGGGGACACCCCTACTCACTTAGGAAGGAGTAAATGCCTCAGTGATTATTCAAGGCACAAGGAGATTTGCAAGCTTTCTCTTGGTTCTGTCACAGAAGTGGAAATTGCTCCCACACCTTGGGCTAGCAGCCGAGTCACTGCAGCCTTCCTCTCTTCATCTCCATAATATATTTCAGCAATTTACCTTCACTTTTTGTTTTTTTCCTGAAGAAAAGCTGTGTTTTGATTTAATTCCTCAAGGAAGAAATACTCTCAGGTCCTAGTAAGATTATCCTAAGAGTGCAAAATTGATCACTGTCTGCTAGAGGTATATTGCCTCCTGTAGAGAAAATATAGTATCATTTAAAGATAGGAAATCTGTCCTGCATCAGTAATTACAAACCAAGATGCAAGGATATGTAATGACTTCTCTCAAATTTGTTCCCTTCAAAAGCTCCCATTTAAGTGATGAGGAATATTGATGGTAGTATATGGTACACAGTGTGAAGCTGGCACTCCTTTGGCACACATGCTTTGAAGCACGGCATTCGGAAATGCTTGCTGTGTCCATCAGCTGTTGTGTTTGGACCATCTCTTCTGAAAACAGACATGGCTATCCCTAACTCTGCAGCTCTCTTTCCTTTGTTGGAGGGAATAGAAGTGCTTTTTTTTTTTCTTTTGAGTAGTAACTTTGTTTTGCCTTGTGTATATGAAAAGATGTATAGCTCTTTTCCTGAAAGTTTTCTTCTTTAGAAGTCCAAAGGTTTACTCACCTAGTGGGGGTACCTGCTGGGAAAATAATGACTTTGGAGGGGCTGCATCATCCAGGTGCCACCAAGAGCCTGAGCTGCTCATGCAATGCAAAAAAAAAAAAAAAAAAAAAAAAAAGCAAAAACAGGGAGAACTGAATAAAACCAGCCTGATGCAGTGATGAGTATTGATTTTTCATAAAGTGTGATTTTCAAGAGAGCCATAAAATTCCTTTTGACACTATAGCTGTTAGGAGTTAAATATCAGCACTGAAATTAAAAAAAAAAAAATGGCTGTTCATTATTCTGATAGCACAAGGGGGAAGAAATTTAAACAAAAAAAAGTAGATTTAGGTTAGATGTTACGAAAAATTATTTTGCTCAGAGAGTGGTAAGGTGCTAGCACAGGCTGCCCAGAGAAGCTATGGATGCTCCATCCCTGGAGGCACCCAAGGCCAAGTTGGATGGGGTCCTCAGCAGCCTGATCCAAGGTTGGCAGCCCTGCCTATGCTAGGGGGATTGGAACTAGATGATCTTTAGCTTCTCCTCCAACCTAAGCCATTCTATGATTTTATGATTATTCAGTATATTTTACCTCTACAGCTATTGATTAGTTTTAAAGACAGCCTGTAATCCAAATGAAGGCAAGAGCATTATGGTCAATTCGTGTAGCCATATTGGCAAAGAGTTGCACCAAGTAGTCTGTATGCAATGACTGGCCCAAAACTCCCGACTGCAGTTATGTGCTGCAAAAATACAGGGACAGTGAATGCTCTGGGAAGTGCATTGCACCTTTCAACAGATTCATAGCCCAAGCAAGCAGGCTAGTTGGGTTCCATAATGTAGCTTCTGGTGATCTCTAAATCAGCAGAACATTCCCAAAAAGCAAAACAGAAATGCTATGCACTGAGAAGAAAAATATAGGGCTTCAAATCGCAGTAACTGGGGAATGGCTGGCAATAGGTACACAAGATTTTCTGCTACAGGAGGAGGTGGAAAAGTGAGACAAGCTCGTTAACCTCAGAGCTGTGACAGGGAAAATGGAATGAGGTTGGTGTTAAGAAGCTAAGGAACTGAACCAAGGCACAAATGAATACAGTCCTGCAGTGTCTGGAGCATGGTGAGGTTTTTTTGCTGGTTTGTAGTACAGAAATAAAGTTTAGTATAGGATCAGTGGAGAATCACCTTGAAAAGAAACTACATGAGTTTGCCAGAGAATAGATAGGATTTGGCCACAAATTCTTGATGGCCACTCTTTGAGGGCTCCCTCAGCAGTCAGGATAGTGTCAGAGCCAATATGAAGCCTTAGATCAACTCCACAACAAGGAATGAAGAAAAAAGAAGATGAATTACTTCATCCCTGTTTGAATATCAACATTACAGCCAACAAGCAAAGAGTTTACTAGGGCACCTTAAAGTCATGTAGGTAGGTCAGCTCTTCCTCACAATCTGCTGCCCAAAACAAGTGATATTATTTTCTTATGGCCGCCAAACAAGAAGTGCGCAGCAGTAAGACAAATCAGAAGCAGCTTAAGGGCATATCAAGAAGGTAGAAGTCTCCAAACAGTGCATTTTGCATTTTCAAGTGCATTTTGCTGCATTATGCCTGGGTCCAAGCACCAAAGAAGCTGCTACTTAAAAAAGCAATGGTGCTATATGGCTCAAAAGCTCCCCAGCAGGAGAGTCTACATGTGGATTTATTTTCATCCCTCTTCTACAAAAAACAACAGATTACATCAAGAAACCAATCTCACCTGGCAAATGCTTCATTTCAGGGTGATTCAGGGTCCTGTGCTCACCACCAGCCTGGGCAGTATGGAGATTGTCTACAACACTGTAAGAGCAGCAACATGAATTCTCCTACAACACTGTTAGCTCCAGAGAGTTTCCAGCCTAAGATTAAATCAGCCCACAAAGCCTGATGTTTGGCTTCCATTCACCCCAGGGGTGATGGCACTCTGATAGTGACAGTGATTGCAAATGAAGTTTTTCCTCTGCCAGTCTCAAGATTGGGATCTGAAATGTATGTTAATGGGCAAAAAGTCTCATTAGAAGAGTTGAGCAGAGCTAGTGTTTATTTCAGAGATAAGCTAACTTTTTTAACTTTTAATTAAAAATCAGCTGAAAGAATTAAATGTTTAAAATGCTATTTTTACTCAAACAAGCATTTATACTGCTGAAACATTATTTGCTCTAATGATAAAATAAAACATTGTCCCAACACTGGGAAGGTACAGAGACTCTCATGAGAGCCAGCTGCAAGAGAACATGAAAACAGGAACACAAAATTCTAAAATTTATTTATTTTTTTCCCCTGGAATACTTTACAGAGATTGTCTTCTCATGAAAATATTCAATTGCCTTAGTTGAATGATGCAATGCATAAAAAGAACTGCTTATGCCCACGTTTTCCTATTCTTTTTTAGCTTTGATTACACTGTATTTCTATTTCTATTTCTTTTTTTTTTTTTTTTTGCCAACATGTGTGCACCTATAAACATCTTTCCCTACATAAGATAAAACGAAGACTTCCAAATGAGTTAACGTGATGCTCTGTTTCGTTAGCTGACAAGCCAGTGTTTGCATCTTTAAAGGGTTTATTGTTGTTTTGTCCCATCAGGACCACTAACACAGCAGGTCCCCATGCAGCAGACGCCATTGGGTAACCTGCATGGGGTGTGACATGGAGGGATAGAACTGGGACCTCCACAGCTCCCTGAGTAGAACAAAACCCTTTCTGCTTATTTTGCTGCATTATGTCTGGATCCAAGCACCGAAGAAGCTGCCCAAAGTATTTTCTGTCTAAAACCACCCCTGTCTCTGCCCTCTGGTCACAGACATGGTTGGACTGGACGACCCTGTTGGTCTTTCTAACCATAACAATTCTATGATTCCTCAGATAGCAAAAGGGCCGTGAGAAGAGCAGCCCTTTTTACCAACCTTTGATGAAAAGGTAAACACAGGTTAGAAGCACTCTCCAAAGCTACAAAATGCAACGCTGCAGGATTTCTGTTTTTTCCCTCCCAAGCATGTTTTCCTCCCAGCATCGTTAAACTGAGTGATGGTAGCTGTGTCTCCTTATAGCAGGCTGTTTCAGCTCTCCCTTTTCTTGTTGTCTCCTTGCAGCCGACTCCAGCGGCAGAGACGAGAAGCCCACGGCGAGGCACACAAGCAGGGCAGGTAGGTGAAGGCTCAGCCACCGCCTCAGGCTTCCCATGACAGGGTCAGCAAAGCAGGGGGAGCAAAACCATCCAAAGCCAAACAACAATCTAGCACAAACATTCTGAATAGGGTTCACGCCATTAACAGAGTTGAGTGAGGCGTGAAGGAAGCCAAATTCCCTTTGAAGAGCCATGCTTAGATATCGTTTCGCATGGCCCCTTGGCTTCACACAGCAGTGCTGCGTGATTTGTGTCAGGTGTGGGGCAGTATTTAGGTCAGGTATAATCCCCTCCACTCAGGGTCACTGCTGTGGCCACTGGCACTTGCCCAGCATGGCATGGAGCACAGCCATAGTCAGACACCTGACAATTTGGAGCTGCTCAGCCAGACCCAGCTGGTGCAGAATTGCAGCATGCCCTGAAAATCTCCTGCTCCCAGAGCTGCAGAGCCCAGACCCCAGGAGACTTCCACTGTTGCCTCTGGGGGAGGCAACTTTTCACTTTTTTAGAAGCAAAAAGATTGTGACATGCATCACTTCATACTAAAAAGTCCTCCAAATTTCTCCCACCTTAGTTTTAAACTGATCTAGCAGAATCACAACAAATCCAACTGTTTTACTTGAAAGATTTTCTGTATTTTTCTGTACTTCAGTAAAGAGTATAAAATAAAAGTATAAAAACAACAACAAAAAATAATTAAGTTGGAATAATAATAACCTACATTTTACAGCTTCCATCTCCCAAGGGGAAATGCCTTTAAATTTAAACATCTTTCTGCATGCCTTCTGGTGGAATAGAAGTGTTTTCACCTTTCTATTCTGATTGTATATCCGTCCCTCTTCACCAAGTTGAAAACAGAAAATTTGAAGGGAAAAAAGAAATCTAAGAGAAAAAAAGAAACGTAACAATAACCAATAAAATTAAATCCTCATTCTTTTCATCTAAAATAGAATAAAAAATATTGGTTTTACAAGTTTATCCAAAATAAGTAACACCATTCATATCTTCTCACATTTTTACAAAAAGAAAAAAAAACACAACTCAATCCAAAAATATTTTTTCCACTTCATGCTTATACTCCATACTTTTCTGACTTCATACTTCTATAGGAGTTTTCAAGTTTTTAAAATGAGCCCCTGTAATAAGGATGTAGCCAAAAAACTAAGATGAGCAAAAGTGATTCCCAATAGCATAGGCATAGTTCAAAAGTGAGAAGTTGAGTTCAGTGGCAGGAAAAATAAAAACCCCTATAAGCCATAAAAAATGGGAATACAAGTTGAAAGCACAAAAAGTCTCCCAGTAATGCTATTCCTGCAAATATAAAAGGAAACTTTAAAAATAAAAGCTCTATTACACATACATTAATACATTTCTATTAAGTTTAGAAATGTAATTCTAAAAAATATCCTCCTTATGTTTCAGATGAAACTGTTGTAGGAAGCTGGCAAACGTGACAAAGGCCAGAATGGCCGTATGATGGAGTCAGACATCCATGAAGTATTTGATATATGCTCAGGAGATACATCTAAACCTTAGCACTAGATGGAAGTATCATGCAAACAAATCACATATCCATTATAAATAGATTAAAAACTGTGGCGCTGGTTTCTCAGAATCTCATTGTATGTGGAAGACTATCTCTAAGCAAGCTGTTTAAAACAGAAATGTGAAGAAATCTATCATCAACTGCTGTTATTCGGACTTTTGAGTAACAGGATGATAAAACCCATGAAAGAGTTGCTAGTGAAGCTTACAAAGAGTATAAAGCTTAGTGGGGAGGCAAATAATTGTAGGATTGGTTAATCATCCCAAACAATGTTGGCCAGCAGCCTATTTGGGCAACATGCCAAATGCGTGTGAGTAAAGGCATGGTCATCAGGTGTGTGGTCCCAAAGGGTGAGGGATGCACTCTGGAATGAATAACCCCATGAAGTGCATGATGTATAACTGCACTCAAAAGCAGGGAGCAAGGGAGTGTGCTCACCACCTTGTGTGAAATGGGAGAACCAATGTGCAATCTCTAAAAGCCTAGGAAGGAGAGGGACTTTCCAGTGACCAGATCTCACCCCTAGTAACTACAAGGACCATCTCCCTGCCACAAATGAAAGAAACATTCTCTCCAGCCCCATCTTAAGGAAAGCAGAGCCTTCCTGCTCTGTTGGTTAGAGACATTAATTTTGACCCTAATTTAATCCTAACATTTGTTCTTAGCTGACGTTGCAGTTTTGTTTGTCCCTTTCACCCTCTGCTGACACACCCACAGAGCCCTGCGCCTTCCCTTCCCTTGGAGCCTATCTCCTGGCTCTCCATCACACTGCTTACCCTACCTTCTGATTATATAAGGGAGAAAGTGCTGTTCTGAGCACCACCAACCAAGACTGCGCACAAATGTCTGAGGCTTTGCTAGTGACCTGGTAATAACATTCCCTTGTCTCAGCTGGGTATAAATGTTTCCCAGTGAGTGTTTGCAATCCCACAGGTCTTTCCATAGCTCAGAATTATGCCCTCTGCTCACTGTCCAAATAATTCCCTTTCTTCTATGCCAGTGCCTGACAACTGAAGTTCCTAGGCAAACCTTTTGATGTTAAACACTTCTGTGTTATTTTCTTGTACCTTATACCTGTTACTTTACTACTTTTGTTCACCTACTCCTTTCTGGATGCTGACAAATAGGAGGAAATATAGGAACAATTCAATATTTGGGAAATGAGCTTTTCATCAAGACAGGAAAAATACTCATATATAATCACTGTTAACAGAAAGATTAGAAACTATTTTGGTTTGTAGATTTCTCATTTTATTATAGGGGCAGAGTGCCATGGGAAGAGGTTGAATTAAACATACTTAAAGCAGAAGAAAGGACCATATTTTTAAGTGTCCTTTGGGATAAGTAACAACTTGAAGAGTTCACCAATGGATGTAGGCAACTCATCACCCCTAGAAATTATTAAATTGAGACTGAGCATCTTTGAAAGATACTCTGTAGTCCAGTCTCTGTTAGCAGATTGTTATGTTGGTATCTTGAGGTACCACTGCCTGTGGGCCTCAGTACAGGCACAAGAAGTACAGCACGGTTAAGCAATCTCATTTATGAAGAGTTTTACCACAGGAAAATATTCCCTGTCAAGTTTCTTTGTTGTTCTCTGTCTCTTTGATCTATTGCAGACTCGTCTTCTGCATAGTCAGATAAACACCCCTTGGAGCGTATCATCTTTTTTTCAGATGAAGAAACAGCAAAATCTTTCCTCTGTTTTTGAGCTCTCCTGCTGCCCTAGCAGCTGTCATGTGGCTGCTCAGAGTGCAGCAAGGCTTCACAGGCATGGCGTAGCCGAGAAGAGCTGCTACAGCTCCCATCCTGGCCAAGGTGCTGGGGAGTCAAACAGTGCTTTTTGCCCTCAGAGATGGCCTTGAAAGAGAAGCAGAGCATCCACTGCTCAGTGCTCACTGCAGCTCCAACAGCTTTTGCAAGACCATCCCTGGCTCTCTTGTCTTTAATGCTCCTTTTTATCTTTGTTAGAAAACTGGAGCAGGAGCTAATCAGTTTATCCCCAGTTAGGGGATGGCCTGCCTCCTGGCCTGGTTCCCAGCCTGTCTCCATTTTGTTCCTGGGCAACAGCCAGTAGCTTATTTTATATATTGTTTCCCTAATTCCTGGCCTCACATCCTGTCAGAAATCAGTGTCAGAAATCTTGTCTCTTATTTCCTTTTCCTCACTTAGCCACACACGTAATTTCTCTAGGACATATATTTGAATTGTCATATTCAAACTGTGTTATAAGCACAGGTAATTTTACAAAGACTCACAAAGCAAATGTTTTCTCAGTGTGTCAGAACTATCACAGATGCCTAAGTGCTCCATATTGAGCATGGGGGCCATTTTGTAATGACATGCTGCCAAGCACTGCATTCACAAGGCTATGGCTTAATGGGAACATGGACATGAGCTGATTCTCATTTTTGGACTGGAGTGAAGTGGGTCAATATCTCTCCCACGAACTGTGAAGGGCTCATGGCTGTGTTTCTCTCTTCCTAGTAGTCCTATCCTAAAGCGAAGCCCTGACATCACCAAATCTCCACTGACAAAGTCAGAACAGCTGCTGCGAATAGATGACCATGACTTCAGCATGAGACCAGGTTTTGGAGGTACATAATCTGCATATTTGTTACTGTTTTGCACTATCACTTCATTATACTGTAGCTTTAAGTTGGGCCAACAAGCAGAGGGACGAGCAGAGCCTTTTCTTTCTCTAATTAGTGTTTTTATTGTAAATCCATAGCATGCTTGGGGGGATAGTGGTGCAGTGAAATGGCCTTCTACCTTGAAAAACGAACAACTAAGTTGAAGTCATGGAGATATGATTAGAGGCAATGTAATATTCCTGATACTCAGTGACACTTTCTTTTGATAAAACCTCCAAACACACTTTGCATGTATTCCTGGATGACGGGGAAATTCTACAGATGTGGCTTCCTGTGGCAATTTGTGTGCATAATCAAATCACATACCAAGTTTGCTGACCTGGCTGTTTCATTTCTAACACCAAAGAAAATATTTCGACTGCTGTGTGCTAACGCTTGCTCACAGTTTTGTGGCTGTACTGTACAGCAACCAGAGCTTTAAGGGAACAGGATGAAGGGGAACATGCTTTCTTTCAGCCTGTGGATTAGAGAATGATGAAATTTATCTACTCTTTCTGGCTGACAGATGGTCATTCAAATCCAGGATACCATTATATACTCTCATGAAAGTAAGTTTTTTTGCTAAAAGCTCAATATACCAAATACCAACATGTTCAATTAATTTTAAAAGGTTTCAGTTTCACAGCAACCCACTAATGTGAGCATTATTTATCTTGTCAGTTCTCCTGCACTGTAATTGCCAGAGGTATGTGAGGGGCAAGTCAAACTCTGGAGGAAAGAAAAAAAAAAAAAAGAAAATCCCAATTATGGGATGTGACCTCAGCTCCATGGCACACACCTGAGTCCTGTAGTGTAGTCCTACCCATCACCTTCCCCTTTCCACAGCCAAGCAGTGAGTGATGTGAAAGCCAAAGATGCAGAGCAGTTTTCAGGGTGGTATTAGCCCGAGAGGTGAGCAGAGAAAGTGATGAAAATTTGGAGTAAATCTCTCACGTGCCCTTAGCTGTACCATCTCTGCTCTCCATGCACATAGGAGCTCTGTGGACAAGCAATAGCCTCGAGCATTACAGACTTTACTTTTAAATTTTGAAGGGATGTAGAATGTAACAATAAAAAGAGAAAGTTAGTAAGAGGTCATTCTCACTGCTGAATTTTATTGTTATTAGGAGGTTTTTGTTATGAATTCCAATTGCTTCTACTTCTAATTGTTTTACTGTTGTTTTGTTCCAGACTGAACATTTATTTTCTAAGATGCCAAAACTTTATCTCATCAGGTTTATACTTCCTCAACTTTTGTGTTTTGTTGTTTTTTTTCCTAGGCCCTGCAATTCCTGTAGGGGTGGATGTCCAAGTTGAAAGTCTGGACAGCATTTCTGAGGTGGATATGGTAAGTGTCACAGAAGGGCTGAGGCTGGACTGGACTGTTGGAAACTACCTAGTCCTAAAACGGCTGAGAGTAGGGTGAAATAGAGCAGGTTGCTTGGGGCTCTGGCTTTTGGATTTGAATTCCTCCTTGGATGGAGACTCCTGTCTCCTGGGCACTTTGTTTGAAGTGAATCTGCTGGCAATTACTTCTACTGACCTCATCTTTTCATCCCTCTAAATGTCTTAAAGCAAAAGGAATGAAAGTTAATCTGACATTTTCTTTTCTCTAAGAAAGACAAAGTGATAGAACACTGCCAAAACTGCCCCAAAGGATTTGGGTTGTTACATTTTCTTGAGAAGTGATAGCATGTAAAAGCTCCGAGGAGACCAATTACTGTGTTAGGCTTAGGGTGCTCTGATATATTGCTGATAAGATTTCACTTTGGCCATGCTCTGAAGTGATCAGGGGAGAGGTTGGTCGCCAGAATCTGTCCTGAGAACTACCCTGGTGAGAGCATACTTGTCATGTGGCAGCAACACCATGAGAACAGAAACAGAAATGCCCAACATTTCAATGTCCCCTCACTTCAGAGGAAGGCTTAACCCTTTCAGTGAGCTTCCCATCTCACTGGGAAGTGTGTAGTTGTAAGAAGGCAAGAGTTTTCAGAGGACAGAAGTTTCCTCAGAGCCCACTTTTGGCTCAGCATCAGTTGTGCCACCCCTACTGTGTGGTGTAAGGCTTTGTGAGTCCATCCTGAACCTTCATGTTGATGCTGAAGTAGTATTTCAGGAGCACACAGGTCTGGTGCTGCCACTCTGCACAGGCTGATTTCATTACTGAGTCTCTGTCCTTCTTATGCTACCATATAATTGGTAAGGTGGAAACAGTTTTCAAATGTTGTTTAAGCGCTCTGGATTCTGCTGGAGGGGCTTTCATCATCACAAAACGCTGCTGAAAGTAAGGCATGATCTCTGCAGGAGATTTTCCATGGGAATATTTTACATGCAGGCGTGACACAACAACAGCCCACACCAAAGAGCAGGAGCACAGAACGAGAATGGGAGATAGCCCTGTAACCAACTCGCCCTGTTAAAGCATTTCGAGGGTCTCTAAGCAGCTATGCTTTAGCTTTGGAAGAAAAAAAATCACACCCCATTTATAAAATATTTTCAGAACTGTTCTGCTGCTCCAGCAAATGCATTGAACAGCTCTGAAGCTTTCACAGAAAGCTCAGACATCTCTGTACTCTTACGAGCACCCACCTCACCTCCTCCTTGGTTAAGTGAGGAGCACAGTTGTATGGCAGCACAATTGGTCCTGGGCAGCTGCTTTGGGTGCATGTTCCAGCTGTTCCAGTGCCTTACTACCCACAGGGTAAATAACCTTTTCCTAATATTTAATCCAAATCCACTCTCTTAGTTTAAAACCTTTAACCCTTGTCCTATACCATGCTCACTGATATCTACCTGGACATCAAATTGTTGGCCATAACTCTTTGAGTGCCATCATCAGCCAATTCTTTATCCACTGAAGTTGTCCATCTGTCAAATCCATGTCTCTTCAGTGTACAGATAAGGTTCTTGTGTGGGACAGTGTCAAATGCCTTGCACAAGTACAGGTGTTAGATAAACTTCCCTTAGATTAAGGGCAATGTAGTATGTTACATTCTAAGATATCGTGCTTATAAAAACTTGTGCATGCATTTTTCATCAGATAATGAGCAATTTATTTGAAATAAGTAAAAAGACAAACCCAAGCAGATGCCCTACTGGGATCAGACTCAAAATACAATAGAGTAAAAAGAGTATGATCATACCTTAGATCTAGAATGCGCAGTATATGGGCAGAATCATAGAATCATAGAATTGCTCAGGTTGGAAAAGACCTTAAAGATCATCAAGTCCAACCACAACCTAACCATACTACCCTAACTCTAACAGCCCTCTGCTCATGTGCCTGAGCACCACATCCAAACTGTTTTTAAGCACATCCAGGGGTGGTGACTGAGCCACATCCCTGGGGAGCCTAAGGGCAAAATAAAACATTTCATTCAAATACTGAGCATCTCATTTGCTATGCTGGAGGAAGAATTTTCTCTGCAGCACTTCTCTAGCTGTCCAGAATAAGAACGTTGCTAAAGCAGCTGCTGGAGCAGTTGTTCTCAACTCCAGAAATGCAGCATTGTAGGGATGGCGGGTTAAATTGTTGGTAGTGCTCATTGCTGACAGCTGCCTCTGTGTATCTCCCTTTTGGTCCCTGGAGTGACTCACAGACACCAAAATGAAAATGTTTGATTTCAGAGATAAATTTGCCTCTGGATGAATGGTGTCTGATTTCTGAACACATTAACTCATGTTCCCTGCCATCTTAGAGAGTGGATGTGCCCTCGTGAACAGTGCTTTGTAAGGTGCAGTTTGCACTAGAGAAGAGAAATCATTGCTACGCTGATAAGGCATAGGTTGTGACACAAACCTTTTTGTTGCAGGACTTCACCATGACACTTTATCTGAGGCACTACTGGAAAGACGAGAGATTGTCCTTCCCCAGCACCAACAACCAAAGCATGACATTTGACGGCAGGCTGGTGAAGAAGATCTGGGTTCCTGACATGTTCTTTGTCCACTCCAAACGTTCCTTCATCCATGACACCACCACTGACAATGTCATGCTGCGGGTCCAGCCAGATGGGAAGGTACTTTATAGCCTCAGGTAAAAGTGCATTTGGTCAGTGTGAGCCATTAGTGGTATGAGAGAGAGAGAGCGGTTTAATTGATTTCTGTATTTCATTTCCACATGACTTAACAATAAAAAAAATTAAAAATGTGAATGCATTGACTAGCCATTTACATCATGAGGAAGAGGCTCTTCCTTTATCATAAGAAAAATGCTCATATGTTCAGGGAGAACAGCTGGGGGGTTTGGGTAAGTGGAGCGAGAAGTAGGACTGGAGCTTAATTCCTAGGAAGATTGTGTCCCATCCCTTCCCTTCCCCTTCCCTCTTTTCCATAGCAGTGATCTCAAGTTTCAAACGTAAATCAGATGCCTCACCAAGGAGTTGAACATTACTGACCATAAGACTGAAGATTATTAAAACAGGATTTTTCTTCTTCCTAACTGCTGCTTTCATATGTGGAGATGCTAATTCAGGAGCATCTGTCACTCTCCAAAAGAAACTAATGTCAGTGCTGCTTCTTCATGCCTGCAGCTCCATTCAGTTACAAAACAAGTGTTGCCAAATGACCCATAAAAACCTATGAGAGAGGAAATTGCTGTACAATATTCTGATGCAAGAATGTCAACATCAGCTCCATAGCAATGAAATAGCAAAACATGCGATAAATAAGCCAAACAGCAGATAGATAACGTATTCTGAAGGACAAAAAGAAGGAAAATCTGACTGCAGGAGGTCAGTAGCAACAAGAAGCATAGATTTAACTTTAACTAATGATAAGGCTGCAGAACATGTTGCTTGGGATGATTGTGGAGGTCTTTGAGGGCACATTAATAACCTCCAGGAGTGGTGGAGGTAGGGCTGAGCTCTACTCCTCAGCCTGACAAAGTATTTTTCCTTTTACAAAAGGAAACAGTACAAAAAAAGTAAGGCACAAAGTCCTTTGTGGTAACTGTTTGACAGGAATTTTCTTGTTTCTCTGATATTTTTATACTATTTGTTGGGATTCACAGCCTGGATAGTGCTAATCTTATCATTACTAAAGTTTTTTGTTTCTTCCAGTGTATTAAACATGGTTCAGGTGTTCTTCATGTGTTTGAAAAGTTTGCTCAGACCCTTAGCACAATAACAAAATGACAATAGAATGACATAAAACTCAACTACAGCTACATGCTACACGTGGTCTACACTGCAAGTGTTTTGGCTATTTAACAATGATGGGGAAGGAATATCAAACTACACAGATGCTGCCATATACAGACTTACGTTTAACAGGCTACTTCCAACTGGCCTTCATGAAATGGTAGTGAATATCTCGAATAACAGGGTGACAGTTCTTCAGTATTTTATTTATCGGTGACTGCGGGCCGAAGTACTTTATGGTTGGAAGAGAAATATGAATACTTAAAAACAAAGATGTCTTTGCTAACTGAGAGCCTTTTCTGAATGCCTTTGCCTGTACATTTGATTTTTTTCCTTGGTGTCTGCCTTTTTAAAACTCTTACCAAACATCTTCTCTTTTCTTGGAAAGCTCTCTAAACCTCGCTGGCACCTAAGCAGTAAATCTGAGCCAAGCAGCTTCACTCTAAGATAAAATCTGGATAGGGAAGCAACATGAACCCAGACATGCATAAGGAGTACTAACATAAGAGACTGCATCTTGATTTTATCATTATGTGACAGTTGTCTGTCGAGCTTTAATCCTGTTATTATTCATTAATTCTTTCCCCACTGCAATTTATGTTTTTATATTCATTTACTTCCCTAGAGTTCAAGCTAGTGGAGTAAAGACTTACAGATCCTTCCAGTGCAAACACAGATTTCTGCTATTAAAATTGACATAATCAGACTACATTGGGACCGGGGTTTTTGATACGTGAGGTGGAGCATTTCAGTGGTTTTGGATGTGCATCAGCTCCAGCCCTGACTGGAGGTGAGCCCTCTGCTGGCTGACACCCATGGGCGATCACCGGGCTTTCACTGAGCAGATGGAGGTCATGGTGCATGGAGAAAACTGCCCGCATCCTGCACAGCACTGGGCTTTGACAAACCCAAATTACTGTGCAAAGAAGCTGTTGAAAGCGCAGATTTCTGCAGAGATCTGACGGCAAAAGGGAAAAAGTGTCCTCTCTCTGTCCTTCCCCGTTTTCAGTACTTGTGTCACTTGGTAGCAATTTATTACGGCCAAACTCTCTAGCCCCCTTTTTAACACTGGTTTGCTGTGAAGAAAAAATAGCTCTAACTTCACTGGAATGTCTTTAGCTAGATGGAAAGTGTTTATTTCCAGTGACCAAGTAGTCACTCAAAGTCATCTTGCAGCTTTACTATTTTTCAGTCACACAAAGCCGTTTTTAATGAGGTGGTTTTTATTGTTCCCAGGGTTACAGTAACAGCAATGTGCAACATGGATTTTAGTCGCTTTCCCCTGGACACACAGACGTGCTCCCTGGAGATTGAAAGCTGTAAGTAAGCAGAGACATAGGGAAGCTGAGTGCTGCACCCTGTGGGGACCTGAATGGTGTTTAATTATATCCAGCAGCAACTGCTACATTCATGAGCAGGGCTCCAACTATAGCCAGAGAACTTCAACATGGAGAAAAATTCTCTGCCTGTAATTTTTATCTAGAATTAGATGGTGTGTACAACAAGGCAGTGTTTGCAAATGCCAGCTGTGAGTGCCGTTTTGCCAGTGTCCCCACAATCCAGCTGGGCTGCTCTGCTGCAGTCCTATCCCCAGAAGGCACTGGGTTACTTGCCCGCAGGTTGCAGGTGTGTAGCAGCACCCACTTCCCCAGCACCACAGCTCTTAACACAGAAACAAATGGCTCTGTGCCCTTCTCATGCTCATCTGCTCATCTGTGGTTTAGGAACCACAACGCAGCCGCCAAGCCGATCACCTTCCCTTGGTGTTTCTTACATCTGTGAGTGACAAACCCAGCTTATACAGAACTGCTTTGTCCCAGGTGTGGTTTACATAAAATAGTCCTGCATTTTGTACAACTACATTTCAAACTTCCAGCTTTTTAAGAGTTGTTTCTTCTCCTTCTTAAGTCTGAAATACACAATTATAATCTTAGTTATATTTGAATAAAGTTATTACAGAATATTTTTTCCTCTCTGTCTGGGAAAGGCTATTATTAAAGCCCATCCGAAAGGATCAACATTACTATATTTCCATATGCATTAAAAAAACAAGACCTGTAATGTTCATATATACATTATGGACAGAAGGTTTACTCAAGAGTTTGTCCTTCTGCACACCTCAGACCACTGATAAGAGCTTGTTCCTCCTGTTACCCTCTTTCCTCTTCTTTCCTTTGCTTCTGATTTTAGAATGGTACAATTTCTGATGTGGTGGGTAACCTGATATACTGATTATATCTGATTATATGTGTGAAATGAAGGTAAGAGAAACTAAAATATTTACAGAATGCATCATCAGGACTGAGCACTGTGATGATGAGCCTGTCCATTCTTTGCTGCAGCCATACCCACCAATGCTGCAGGGGTTCCAGTCAAACAGTGGCACTGTCCCTTTCAGCTGAAGCTCATAGGTAGCCTTGGAAGAGTGTGTGAACACAACTTAGGCTATAGTAGCTGGCTCACTGCACTGCACTGAGGCTTGCTCTGCTTCCCTAGATGCTTACACAGAAGATGACCTCATGCTCTACTGGAAGAATGGAAATGATTCCCTAAAAACGGATGAGAGGATATCGCTGTCCCAGTTCCTGATACAGGAGTTCCACACTACCACAAAACTTGCCTTTTATAGCAGCACAGGTGGGTACTAGAATCCCTAGCAGAGGCCAGGGGAAAGAGCTGCAGACTTATGTTCTTGGCCACTCCATCTTTAGACTTCCATCATCAGATTAGATAGTCTGGAAAGACAATACCTCTTCAAGAGCACACCAAACTTTAATGTGAATTACAACCCCTGAATGTACAGCTTGTATTATCTTCTCTGAAAGATGTGATCCTGAGAGGTGTTGTGAGTATGATAGTTGGTTCAGTAAGAAGCCTCTTCTGTAAACTGCAATGATATGTGATTAATTCTTTTCCTAAAAGCAAATATGGTGCTATTCCCACTGACGTAACACCTTATCTGAAAGTAGTTTGGTGGTGGTGTGACTTCTCTTTTTCCTTCTCCCTATTCCACAGGATGGTACAATCGCCTCTACATCAACTTCACCTTGCGTCGACACATCTTCTTCTTCTTGCTCCAAACCTATTTCCCCGCCACTCTCATGGTTATGCTGTCCTGGGTGTCTTTCTGGATTGACCGTCGAGCAGTTCCTGCCAGAGTCCCTTTAGGTAAAAACAATATTGTAGTCAGCACACTTGAAGGCCAGTTGTATGCAATGATGGTTTTGACCACCAAGACAAAATCACCGGTGCTATGCACTGCCTCTGTGTTGTCCCTTCATTGCCTGGTGGCACAGAAATCAGCTGTGACACACATTCTCCCTGTGCTGAGGTCTTACTCTCATCTCTCTCTCCATTTGCCCTGCAGTGCCAAGTGAACTGCCTTTCCTGTTCTGACAAGTGCTAGTTGTATATGTTGCAAATCAGGGAGCAAATGTCAAGCTCTGCTTCTATTGCTGCTAACAGATGCATTGGACATAGAGAAATGAAGTACCAGTATCCTTCAAAGACTTCAGTGAGTAAGAAGGTGGAAAACATTACAGAACAGCTGTGACAACATTTCAGTTTATTGAGCTTTTCTAGCACAGAGTGTGTGGAGGTAAAACAGCAAGCCAAGCTTACTTGTTCAACTTGTTAAATTAGATTACAGTGTAGTGTGAGGGATACAGCATCCCCTTCTGAAACACGTTTCAGGCAGATGAAGCCATGTGCCAGAGAAATCACCATGGGAGCACAATTATGTTGTTGACATAAACATTCTGAAGAAGATTATTTGCCCTTTGCAAAATGCCATTTGTATATTTGCAGACTTGAAGCCCAGGTTTGCTTCCATTTGTTCCAGGGAACACATCTCAGAGTTTTATTTATTGTAAAAATTATGTTCATAGTTGGAGAGGAAATATTAATAACAGATACGGCAACAGGCCACATGTATGCTTAGAATCACCATCCATTGCCATGAATCATAATTCAGCAGGAACTAAAAGTTTTGTGACATGGCTTCTTGAGACAAAGGCACTGAGTTTAGGAGAACTTTTCTGAATGCTCCTGTGAATTCAGTCCTTTATGGTTATTCATCATATAAACATAGAAACATAAAATTGTGGAGTCATATAATCATAGAATGGATTGGATTGGAAGGATCTTATAATTTAGCTCCACCCCTTCACCTTTCTGAGCAGAGCTGCCACCCACCAGATCAGTCTGCCCAGAGTCCCATTCAACCTGACCTTGAACCCTTCCAGGGATGGTGCATCCGCAGTTTCTCCAGGCAACTTGTTCTTGTGCTTCATTTCCCCAGAGAGGAATTCTTACACTCTAAGAGTTTCATTCTAATATCTAATCTGAATGTACCCTCTTCTAGTTAAAACTCTTCCCTTTTGCTCTGTCACTATCAGACCATGAAAAAGGCCATCCCAGTCTTTCCTGTAGGCCTCCTCTAGGTACTGGAAGGCCACTTTAAGGTCTCCTTGGAGCTCTCTCTTCTCCAGGCTGAACAATCCCAATTCTCTCAGCCTCTCTTCACAAGAGAGGAGCTCCTGTCTTCTGGTCATCCTTATGGCCTTTCTCTGGACTCACTCTAACAGCTCCATGTCCTTCTAATGCTGAGGACATCCAAAGCTGTACACATTACTCCAGATGGAGTCTCATGAGAGTGTAGTAGAGAGAACCCCCTCCCTTGATGTGCTTGCTGCAACTCTTTTGATGCAGCCCAGTATTACCGTTGGCTTTCTGGGTTGCGAACACACTGTCATGAGTACATTTTTGCGTAGGTTTGATTTATTAGCAGTTTAGGACTTATTAATATTTTTATATAAATCACAAGTTAGATCGTATGATCCTTGACATCACTTTATCCATACTATATCATCAGCCAGTTTAAAACCATCATTCAACAGACACTGCTACAATTGAAAGTGTGACTTGGTTAAAGATTCAAGAATAGCGTGGGTGATGTGAGGCTTATTGCAGGGTAGTGGGGGGTTCTAAACTCTGTTGCACACCCGAAGATTTCCCCCTTGGAGAACTACTCACCCTTCTTTCTCACTGGTTTTTGTCAGTGAATGAGCTTCAATCCTGGAGGGGTCTGTCCTAATAGGTATCCCAGCTCAGAGGGACATTAAGTATCACAGTCCAGTGTGACCCTGGAGAGCTCAAGGGGCTCTTTGCTTAGGACCTCTGTTTATAGGTCCACAAGTTGACTGTCTTCATTCAGTGACATTTCATTCTGGACACAAGGCAGCTGAGATAATTCTGGAACACTCCACCAGCCGAACAATTCCAATCCTTCCCAGACCATCCATCTGGTACGTTATAGACTGGACTACAATCCAGGCAGCAGGTATTGCGGGTGGCCGATCATTCCATCTCCCTGCTGTTGTAATGAAGACAGGAGCACAGTGCTGCCTCATCATGAGATCATAGGGTGGTAGGGGGCTGCACCAACACAATCCACCCCATGGCTGAAGTCAGTCGTTCTCTCCTGAGAGTGGTAGTGTGGTCACCTCCTTATGCTAATCACCTGGCATAGGACATGCTCAGGAATGGTGAACAAGTTGGTTTGATTGTAGAGATATTAACATGCAAGAGTGGTTCAGCTCATTTAGGAGACAACAATCCATCATGGTCACCTACAGTCCAAGTTCAGAAATTTGTGGAGATAGAATTTTCTTATCCTTTACAGTAGAAGCAGATGTTGTTGTACTAAATTTAGTAATGCACATTTTTAACGTAAATGATAACTTCCCACTATGGTGAGTCCAGAGGCAAGCTACAAAAAAAAAAGAAAAAAAAAGAGAGTTTAAGTTTGATTTAGACTTCACTTCCATATTCCCATTATACTCAACACAGGCATGGGTTCATAGCCCCTCCCACGCTGTCTGATCACAGGTTAGGAAAAGTAACATTACTAATGTCTGGAATGACATAAACACCACACTTTTGTCATCCTGAGGAGTGCTGGAAGAGAAAATAAAGACTTGTTCTAGTGGGGAGATTCCGAAATGGTTACCTACCCCATTAAAAAGTAATAAAATCTATTGTGCACTACTTGTATGTTTTGCATCACTAACTTCTCGTTCCTGGCTGCAATGGTGTTGATTATTTTCTTGATTTATTTGATCAACTACCCAAATGAAAGGTAAAAGGACTTTTGTCTATACAGAGTATCACTGTTCTCTCTTTAAAAACAGTTAAATTGGTTGCACTGCTGCTGCTATCCTCATCCTTTGAGGGGCTGTTACTCCAGTTGTTGTGTAATATTATGTTGGTGCAATTTCACATCTCTCGGGGGTGAAACTGTTCAAAATTCAGCATGTACAGCACACATGGTTGTGAGGGAAAGAGATAGCTTGCTATTTTTCCAAATCAAATTATTTAAAAAAATTCCACCGTGTGTCACTACAGAAATTGAGTGCTGTGGTACGCTAATAATTCTGAATTAGAAAGTACAGGGACTGTGAGAAACACAGGCACTGTAATTGTGTGCATGACCCTGTTCTTACCAGGGTCAGAGATTGATGTTTGAGCTGAAGGACCTGGTGCCAAATTTGGCTGTTTAAAACATTGAAATCAGTAATATTTTTCATGGCAGTTTAAAATTGCAAGCAAATAGTCAACATGTGCTTCTTGTCTGGAAGCAATAACTTGGCCATGGCAGCCTGGCAAATAACATGCACTCCATTCAAACCACTAATTTTAACTCTTTACTATCCAGATCTCATGCTCAGCTTCTTGGCATCTGGTATTCAAACCACTAATTTTAACTCTTTGCCATCCAGATCTCGTGCTCAGCTTCTTGGCAACTGGTTGTTTTCCTGTTAACGTTTGTTCTGCTGTATTTATTAAAAAGACTTCACCAATTTTTCTTGAGGAACAGTTGGAATTAATATATATGCATGTACCCATACACATACATATATAGATACATGTGGAAATAGACTATTATTACTTACTTATGGATAAGCTTTTGCTCCAGCAGGGAGGCCTTATGCATTCTGTGCACAAATTTTTCTTACTTCTGGCCTTCCAATTCCTCCCTAAGCGGGGCAAAGGAGTTTGCTCCTCTCTGGGCCTGGCACCAGGGGAGTTAAAATGTACTCCTTTCCTTCACTGCTACCTCATTTTTGGAATGTCTCAGACTCCAAATAATACTAGTAAGTAGACAGTGCATCACTGCTCTGGGAATGCCTAGGGTTAATGCTGTTTTTCATAACTCATTTCTCTGTTCTTGAAGTTTTGTTTGCAGAGCTTTAGATTTATTTCCCTTTAACTTAGTTTCTATTCCATGTTTCATGGGTCTCAGTTTATAGCCTCCTCTCCAGGGCCTCAGGGCTGACATGTCATCCCAGCCCATTTCACAGCCATAGTTATCAATACTGTATATTAATTCTACTCATGCAGGAAATTGAGAGCACTATGAACATTACTGTCTTGTTTTTTGTTACATTCTGTGTTGCATCTGATTTTATTCTGATTTTCAATTAGGTAGAATTTTAGAACTCCTGAGACTCCTCTCATCTGTCATTTTCACATTGTGAAATTTACTGTAGCAAACAATATCCTCACAGTATTCAGTAGAGTGGAGTAAATCATCTTGAGAGTGAGCTCACACAACATGTTCAGGACAACCAGGGGGTCAGGCTCAGCCAGCACAGGTTCCTGAAGGGCAGGTCCTACTTGATCAATATCATCTCCTGCAACCAGGTGATCCGCCTGGTGGTTGAGAGAAAGGCTGTGGATGTAACTTACCTAGACTTTAGCAAAGCCTTTGACTTTGTCTCCCACAGCATTCTCCTACAGAAGTTGGCAGCCCATGGGCTGGACAGGTACACTCTTTGCTGGGTAAAGAACTGGCTGGAAGGCCAGGTTCAGAGAGTGGTGGTGAATGGAGTTCAGACATGAGTGGTGATCTTAAGGGGTTGGTAGAGGGGCCTGTCCTGTTTTATCCTGTATGAGGGCATTAAGTGCACCCTCAGTAAGTTCTCAGGTGACACAAAGTTGGGAGGAAGCATCAATCTGCCTGAGAGAAGGAAGGCTCTTCAGAGGGCTCTGGACAGGCTGGGCTGAGGCCAATTGTATGAGCTTTAACAAGACCAAATGCTGGGTCCTGCACTTTCATCACAGCAACCCCATGCATAGACATATAGCAGAATGGCTGGAAAGTTGTGTGGAAGAAAAGAATCTGGGTGTGTTAGTTTACAGTTGGCTGAATAGGACCAGGTGGCCAAGAAAGCCAACAGCACCTTGGCAACGTATCAGAAATAGTGCAGCCAGCAGGAGCAGAGTGATTGTCCTTCTGTACTTGGCATTGCAGGGACACCATCTTGAGTACTGTGTTCAGTTTTGGGCCCCTCACTACAAGAAAGACATTGAGATATAGGACTTAGATTAGCAGATATTTCCTTGTTGCTTCCTAAAGCATCTGTGTTCCCTGGCTCTTCTTTGTCAGACAGAAAGAAGTACATCTCTTTGCACTTCTAAAATATGTCATTCCAACTTTCAAGGGAATCATTAACATGCCATAATTAGCCCCTGTGATAGGAGGAGCCTGGATAACACTAAACTATGGGGGCTCAGCTCTTCCTGGTAGGTTCATAGCACCTACCTGCAGGGTAATGCATGACAGCATTGCCCTGTGGGCCGCATTAGTCCCTGAGAGGAAGACACACACCAAGCATGGGAGCTGACTGGTGACTTCCCATGAAGCAGGACTTTCTGGGGCAGATGGAACACACAAGCCTTGGGGAACCTGGTGGAAGCAGCAGCTGGAGGAGCTGAACAACAAGCTGTGATATTTGTGCTTTTCACAGGACTGCCCTCCACCTGGTAATAGGACACAGGTAGTGCAGGCTCAAAGCTCTGCTGCCTACCATAGGATGGAGGTAGTGGTGTGGTGGACAATCAGAATTAGAGCTGTTCTCACAGAAAATACGAGAAACCCAAGTAAGAAAGACCTTCCTTGGGCAGTGAAACCCCCCACACTAACGTGAAAAAGTCAGCTTGGATGTCAGGAAAAGGTAATTTGTGAGAAAGAGTTTAGGTTGACCAAACCTTACAGGATCACTCTGCTGCTGTGTTCCCAGGGATCACCACTGTGCTGACCATGTCTACGATCATCACTGGGGTGAACGCCTCCATGCCCCGCGTTTCCTACATCAAAGCAGTGGACATTTACCTGTGGGTCAGTTTTGTGTTCGTCTTCCTCTCAGTGCTGGAATATGCAGCAGTGAATTACCTGACCACGGTGCAAGAGAGAAAGGAGAGGAAACTCCGGGATAAGGTGAGTTTTGCCTTCTCTGATACAGTTTTATGCCATTGAGAAAAAGCGGGGCAAATGTCTAGAAGTGTGCAGAAGTTTAAACCTGCAATGTGTTGCTCTTGGATGCCCTGAGAAAATACAGTGGGGGCAAGAAGACACCTGCAATGAAGCATTCCTGGTTATAAAGATTTGCTACAGATACCCAGCATCTCAGTTAGCCGTTTGTTCTTCAAGATCTGGGGGCATTATATCCCTTCACACATAGCCCTAGACTTATACACAATGGTCTGATTTCCCCCTTTTGCCTTCATTACCTTAAATTGTAACTGCCCAAAATTTCAGCCTAGGCTCTTTTCTTTAAATGGGGCAAACCTGATACACTTCTCCTTGGAGCTCCCCTCTGCCACCTTCTCTGAATTTCTCAGTTTCTAAGTACAGGTCACTGTACTGTTTTATTTTTGTCCTGGTACTCATGCTTAAACCAAAGGAACTTTCCCACAGACAGCCTCCCTCTCTCTGTGGTTACGTTGTGTCCAGCAGATGTGAAACAACAGAAGCCAAAAGCTGCTGCCCACTCCACTGCCTCGTTGTCCTTTCTGTTCTCCCACCATCTCACTTCCCCAGGCTTGTCTCCTCTCTGCTTTCATACGGAGTAAAGGGCTGTCCTTGCATATCTGAACATAACTCCAAAATGCTCTTCCCTTGCCTGTGCCCACAGCTCCCCTGTGCGTGCAGCCTTCCTCAGCCCCGGCCCATGATGATGGATGGCAGCTTCAACGACGGTGACGTGAATGAGTTGGGGCACTACGTGTCCGAGAACGGAGACAAGCAGGACAGAATGATGGTGCAGCTGGCACTGGGGTCTGAGAGGGGCTCGGGCAGGAGGAAAAACCAGAGATACGTCAGCATGCGGATCGACACCCACGCCATCGACAAGTACTCCAGGATAATATTCCCTGGCGCATACATTCTATTTAACTTGATATACTGGTCCATTTTTTCATAAACATACGTAACTTCTGTAGTCACAGTGTATTGCAGCAGGATATCAGAGTACTGTCTCATAGGCTAACAAAATGAACATAGAGAATTAATTTGAAGATTGATTTTTTCAGGATTTCAATTTATTTTTTACTAGGTGCAACTCATCCGTGGCATAAATAACTGTGCAAATTTCACGTTTCAAATAAATATAGGATATACAATCTAAAACGTCATACATATTTAAAGCTGTGCTATGCTCCTTCTTGTGCCTCACAGGCCACTGTAATCTACTTCAATGAGTGACACTAATTGCCAGCTGCTTATATATGGCACAATTTCCATTTCATGACCCCAAATCCCAGTTCTCTCAGTGTTTGAGCCCATGCCTGCATCTCTGAACTCAGCAGACAGACAGCATTTAGCACCGATAAGTACAAAAGATATGCAAACACTTGTGTGCTTGCAGGATGAGGTCAGAAGCAGCTTTTGCAAAAAAAGAATGTCCAATAGTGGGAAACACTTCAGCAAAACTATTGATGGCCAAAGGCGGCTTTCACTGCTCCATGCACACTGTGCTGGCAGTGCTGCACTGACAGATCCAAGCAGCAATACCTTTCACACTTGTGCTGTCTCAATTGTACTTAAAAACAATGAAGTATTTCCAAGCTGTATTGATTAACCTTTTAAAACGTAACTTGCAGTGTACATTTACCAAGGAATCCATCAGTCTGAACAAAAGTTGGACTTTCCATGATGCCAAATCCTCTGGGAAACACAGGACCTCTCCTTGGAGCTGCTTATTTGGGTCAATGGGAGTTTTGCTTGAGTTTCCTAGGAGAGGGAAAAGATTTCTCTACAGAGTGATCCAGTGAAGACAAGTGGATGTCTACAAAAAAGAATACACTCACTGTAGGAGAAGCCACTTCTTGCTGAGACAGCCTCGGTGCTACTGGTTGGTACAGGAGAGCTCTCTGCAGCTTGAATGCCAAGAACTGCTGCAGCTGGTGAAGTCCTGCCCCTGCCAAAGCCTTTGGTGAGTGCAGGCAGTTCCAGAAGAAGCCTGGTCCATCCATTTTTAATGAAAGGCCAGCAGAAAAGTGTTCAGCAGGTGACAAAGCAGATGGAGTGACTGCTAATGTAAAATTACCATGCCAAAAGCTTTGGAATGAAGTGGAAAGGAATTCTGACCGTGAGAGAGACCCGGGTCCAATTGAACAACTCTGCTTCTCCCTGGCACCTCGCAGCCTTCCAGGTCCTCAGAGCAGGCACAGAACCATCCAGGGCAGGACAAGATGACAAGGCTGGCACAGGGGGCACTCAGTACTCACCTCAGTTCCTACTTGACATCACAGCTTCAGAAGAGCAGCCAGCCAGCATAAATTCAGCATCTGTTCAGTGCAAAATCTGTAGCGTATAAGTAGTAAAATATTTCAGGAAATTAGTTCAGAATAGGTCGAATATATACAGGGGCCTTCGAGGTAAAGTAGCACTGAAGCTATCTCAGAAAATCAGTCACTGAGTTGGTCTGCTGCCACATCACCCACATGCACAGATAACTGAGGTGTGGCACTAGCAGGACTTTAAGCACGTGCACGCTTTGCACACTACCATGGAATTCTACAGGCACACATTTCAGGTATCCTACTGAACAACACCATTCCTCACACAGTGGATGCTTTTGTCTTTCACAGGCGTAACTGCTCTGAAAATGAGGCTAAAACAGTGGTGTTTCCAGAAGGAACATGAATCTTTCTATATGAAACCTGCCCTGGACTACATGCATTATACATGCACGTAGTATACATGCATTATACTCGCAGCACAGACATTACAGCTGTTTGAACACTGCTGGCTGCTGCTTCAATTTCGTAGGTAAATAAATATCATGTACAAGTACTCAATGCTTCTTATAACTGCCGGAATCTTGAAATGCAAAATGGACCTGCACTGCCTCTACGTGCCACTGAAACCACAAGAACTACAATTACTGAAAGACAAACTCAGCCACCATGAGATAGCTTTGTTACAGAGACTTTTCTTCATATACGTATAACAGCTTCTTCTTACCATACCATGCTTCTATCCACTGAGGTTGTTGTTTCCCCCCCCCCTCCCAAAGATTAAAAAACACGTATTAAAATGTAACATCTTAATTGGATGGAAGAGAAAGATCACTGTGGTAGAAGCACCAGGACTGCCTGCACTCCTTTATTCCAAAGGCACCTTTCCTCACAGAGTGCTCCAAGACTTCTTGGGAACTGCTCACACAGGGACACATTTAGATCCTCACTAATGTTAAGAACTCATTTTCTCCCACAATTCTAAGAACAGCACAGACAGGAGCAGCAGATATGTGGTAAGCTACCCAGCTTTGTAAGCCTACACAGTGTAATTTGCTTCAGTATTAGACCATTGTAGGACTATTAACCAGAAAATTAAGGAAGATTTTGGAGATACAAATGGGAGCTGGACTTTCAGATTCCTCGGCTTCCAAGGGAAGACTGGTTTCTAACTCTCCATGAGATTCTGAAAGCTTCCCTCCCATGGTGTCCTAAATAGATTCTGCAACCTCTGCGTCTGGATTCACATTGTGAGATGACTTGTGTTCTATTTTGGAAACTCTAGTGCCTTTTCAGTCTTATGTAAATGTGTATATAGATGCATTGTATAAGAACAGGATATGTCATATACAGCCAGTGTTTGCTATTAAGGACTGCAATCATTAAACATACTTCATACACAGTAATTACTTCTCACCTTCCAGTGGTTTGTATCCAAACATCAATGCTCTGCTCCCTCTCATTTCCACTATAAATCAGAGTGGTTTCTTGGTTTTGGTTCTAGAAATGCTCATCATCAAAACCACAACTCCATACTTATATAGCACTGTGTTTCCCGAATTCAAATGAGTGATCTCCATGAGTTTATATCCACACAAAAGATCTTTTTGCTCTGGATCTGATCAAGTCAAATACCATCTGACTTTAAAACCCCACAGCACCAGAGAGCCCCAGGATTTTACAGTCACAGCTCTGTGACTGTGCACAAGCCTTAAATCTCAGAATCAGAGTAGACAGCATTTAGATTCCTCCCCTCCCTGAGAATGTTTGGATTTAATAGTTCTCACTTTCTTGCCTAGGGTGTTACTTTACGATACGATTAAGACCATTTTTCAGAGGCAAACCCAAAACGCCCTCTGGGATGGTGCTGTTTTTAGAGGTTGAAGTCTACCACTGGTCTGGGTGGTTCTGGTTAGACAAATTCTGCTTAGGAGAGCGTCCAGGTTAAAAGCTTTGGAGACTGAAGCCTTTAATAGTCTTTAAGGATGTTGCTAAGTTCTGAAAAGGTGAAGGAGCAAAAAGGAAAATTTCAGTCAGAAACAGCTAGAAAAACAAATAGGCACAAAGAAAAACATTCTCTTTTCTAGTAAAAGGATATTCACATAACAATCAAATAACTAGATTTCAGTTTCCTGTCTCTCATGCCTGGCCAAATCATCCTCGATACAGAACAGAGCCCAACTCCCTGCAATCCCTGCAGGATACAGAGAGAGCTCCGGAATCACCTTAACAGGCTTCAGAAACTGCTTACAATACTTCATCTATATTGATCTATTATTTCTTGAAGCAGATATCCCTCAGCAAAGGTAATTTTCAAGTGAGTTTTACCTCCCTCCCATCTTCCCTCAAACCCAAAGCCTTGGTTTACATAAACACTACTTGGTGTTAAATGTACGAAGCACCACTCTAAGTCACAAAACAACCACATACCAAAACCAATCAGTCATACATAGAGCCCATGCAAAGAGTAACTTCCAGAGCTATTTGTTAGCAAAAGCTTTGCATAAAATCTAGACAGTCACACAGCTACTCGCCTCCAATTAGAAGGATTTGCAATACTTGATTCTTGTAAGAACAGTGCCTCCTCCAAACTAGTTTTATGAGCTTTGAAATATTTTTGCTGAAAACAAAACACACAGATCAGCGTAACAGTAAATTTCTTACCTTAAATCTCAAACTACTTTTGTTCTGAACCTTTACAACAAACGTTTTGAGATAAACCAGGATCAATTTGCCTGAGGAAACTGAGACTTCCAGGATGCAGATGAAGCCAAACTAACTTGACCCAGCAGTGATGATTGCCCCCACTTCAAGCTGATGGCTGGACAGGGACTGCCTGAGTTCCTTCTGGAAAACCCTGCCAATTCTACAGGTCTAATAAGTTTTAACTGTTGAAGCAGCCTGAAGATGATAAAAACTACTATTAAATATTGTATTTGAAAAGCACTACGCCCTGCAAAAGAACTGCTCACTGGCAAACCAAAATGGAAACTGAGAGTTCAAAACCTCTTGCTCTTGCATAATTATATCAAACTAGGAATAAAAAGCACAGTTTACAAATGAACTCACATAGCATCCCAATATAAATCAGTAGACAAAAAATTCAGTCACAACTGTGATCGATATAAATTCATCTTTAATCAGTACTTTGAGCAGTTTTATTCTCACTCCAGTGATGATTACAACAGAATTAAGATGTGCTTTTATTACTGAGAAGTATAAATGATCTCGGACATGATGCAATGAACAGCCAGCTAGTTGGACAAGTACTGAGAAGACAATAACTCACATCAGCTTGCACAACAATGCAGTACATTCTTTCCATTGGGATTTTGCCACTCCATCTCAAAAACAGCAATGAAAAACAAGAAATGCAGAGGGAGTAAAAAATTTAACCAATTACTCTGTTTTTTTAATTATTTTGGTTTTCTTTTAAAGCAGAAAATTAATTTGGAAATTAATACAATAAAATTCTGATAAGCCTTCTAGAATTTAAGATTTAAGAGACTCGTGCTGTTAAAAGCAATGTTTCCAAAATTGTTTTAGGTATACAGACTTCCTGATTTCTCAGAAGCTTACTACTATGCTTAAGAAAACGTTAGCTAATAAGCTGCTTTTTGCTCAGTCTATCCATCAGCTCAGTAACTTGCATCTGACAAAAAATTAGTTCCTCTCCTGTGTA